AGAAATACCCTTTTATAGACAGTCAAACTAAGAAGAGGTAGAAATTAAAATAATAAAAGTGTGCTGATAAATACATAACAAAGAAAATATTAGCATCTCCGTAATCAGTACATTTTATGTTGTGTATTTATCAACACACTTTCATTATTTTATTTTCTACCTCTTTTTAGTTTGACTATCTATAAAAGGGTTTCAATTTTTTATTTCGGCGGCTTACTACAAAAGCGTGCTTTCTAGTTTGATCTCCTACCCCAACAACCTCCAGATACAACATATCCCGTATGCCATATATATATTATATTATATGCGCTTCATTGAATTTTCCGATTTTGATAAAAGCATCATAATCTCCGACCCAAAAAAAATAGATACCAATTTTGAATAGAATCGAATTATATACAGAGTGGGCCTTTGAAAACGAAACAGAGGCTTTGTAGGTCGCCAAAACCGGATTATCAAAAAAACTGAAACACGTCAACTACATTTTCGAGGGGGGCATCTTCCTAAAATATTTTCAGCCCTGCGGCGTTGCCGCTTATAATGAAAAGAAGCAACAACTTTGTTATTTCAAATGGAACACCTTGTATTTTATTGCATTTTTAGGTTCTCCCCGAAGAGCTGATTTCATCAATGCATCACACTTGGGGTCTAGCTGTAATGGTTTCAGGGATATAAAGTGTTCAAAATCGAGATTTCTCAACTTTAACATTTTTTTGTGTCGAAACTATTCATTATTGGTCAAAACGGCACTCATGTCCCTATCTCAACTTGTGTTTCACTATCTACTGACATTTATTTGGAACAAATACAGGGTGGTTCAAGATTTCTGCTCACCCTGTATCTGTTCCAATTAAATGTTAGTAGATACTAAATTACAAGTTGGGATAGGGACATGGGAGTCGTTTTGACCAATAATTAATAGTTTCGACACAAAAAAATGTTAAAGTTGAAAAATCTCGATTTTGAACACTTTATATCCCTGAAACCATCACAGCTAGACCCCAAGTGTGATGCATTTATGAAATCAGCTCTTCGGGGAGAATCTAAAAATGCGATAAAATATAAGGTGTTCCATTTGAAATAACAAAGTTGTTACATCTTTTCGTTAGCAGCGGCAACGCCGCTGGGCTGAAAATATTGTAGAACGATGTCCCCCTCGAAAATGTAGTTGACGTGTTTCAGATTCTTTTCATAATCCGGTTTTGGCAACCTACAGAGCCTCTGTTTCGTTTTCAAAGGCCCACTCTGTATATAATTCCAAAACTGCTCCACTATATATTGAATCCGCCATCACTAATTTTCCAATTTTAACAAAACAGAATCACATTCTTAAACCTCGAAAGCCCCCAAATACGAATTTTGAGTAGAATCGCATCGTTATTAAAAAACTTGTCTGTCATATTGGATCCGTCATCTTAAATTCTCAAATTTGACGAAAGAATCATAATCTCCGACCGCAAAAACCCTTTCAATCCAGATACCAATTTTGAATAGAAGCGGATCATAATAATTAGAAAACTCGTTCGCCATATTGGATCCGCCATCTTGAGTTTACCAATTTCGACGAAAGAATCATAATCTCCGACCTCAAAAACCCTTTCAAACCAGATACCAATTTTGAATGGAAGCGGATCATAATAATTAGAAAACTCGTTTGCCATATTGGATCCGCCTTCTTGAATTTTCAAATTTCGATGAAAGAATAAGGATTTCTGATCCCGAGAACCCGCAGATAAAAATTTTGAATAGATTTGAATCATAATTACAAAATCCGTCCGCCATATGGGATCCGCGATCTTGGATTTACCCTTCCTGCTTTCTGAGGGGGGTAATCATCCCTCCTAGCTCCCATTGATGTGCACCTGGTAAAAATAAAATGTTCAAAATATAACACCTAGGTATAGGTACCTATTCAGGCCTGGCCTGATTCCTTCCCACGTATTTGTGGATGTACCTATCGATCATAAAACACTACAGTGAAAAGTAGTGGTTCGTTCAATCATAATAATGAATGATAATGAAATAATATACCTATTTCGAATACGATGTCGAAATACCCATGTCAGTTCTATAACATGACATAATTGCAACTTTCAATTATTCTCGAATGTTTGGAGATTGCTGTGTACATCAACTTCACGAAATATCGGCAAGATTTGATTGTTCGTTTAGGTACCTACCCTACCATCGAGTATTTGAATTAAAGTTATGAACGAATGAATATCTTGCTGTTCCTGTAAAATCAATAATTCTCGACAGTATTTTACTATACTTCACTATCGAGCTGCGACATCTGTGCGTGTCCTACTCAACTATCTAAATTTACTTTGGCGAGTCACTGCAATGCAGTTTTCTGTAACATTTCGATTTCAACCTGATCCGATGATTTACCGTCTGATAAAATACGGTGTCGACGAGTTACGGTTTCTATGAAATACAGATCTGCTGAATTACCAGTTATTCGATATGGAGAATTAATGTTGATGAAATACGGGTTTGATAAATTACTGATTCTATGGAATACGGATTTGATGAATTACCGTTTTTATAAAATACGGGTTTGACAAATAACAGATTCTATGTAATACGGGTTTGATGAATTATCGTTTCTATAAAATACGGGTTCGATGAATTACTGATTCTATGAAATACGGATCTGATGAATTACCGTTTCTATAGAATACGGGGCTGACAAATTACTGATTCTATGAAATACGGATATGATGAATTAACGTTTTGATAAAATACGGGTTTGATGAATTACTGTTTCTATGAAATACGAATCTGATGAATTACCGATTCTACGAAATACGGTTATGATGGATTATTGATTTGATGAAATACGGTTCTGGCGAATTACGGTTTCTACAAATTACGGTTTCGCTTAATTACGAATTCGATAAGTGTTCACTCTGATAGATTGATGTTTTGATGAAATACGGATCTGAAGAATTGCCGTTTCGATGCTCAACAGGTTCTATACGATATTGTCTCGATATAATACGATTTTGATGATTTACTGTTTCGATGGAATACGGTTATGATGGATTACCAATTCTAAAAAATAAGGTATGATGTTTTACTTCTCTATGAAGTACATTTCATTGTTTAACTGTATGATGAGATACATTATGATCCTTTATATTTTGATGAATTATTGGTTCTATGGAGTACAGTTTCTACAGAATGCCATTATGATAGAATTCGATTTGATGAAATACGGTTTTGATACAATACGATCTGACGAAATATATGTACCCAATTCATTCGTAGTAACATAAATAAGAGAGTAAGATTTTCAAATTTTACACATTACACAATTTTGAATGATTAGGAACGGATTATCTTGAAGTGAAATGTTTTTTCCTGATATTCTGAACATCGACTGAACCTTCTTCAGGTTTTTCAATATTCTGTACATATAGACTAAACATTATCCAGTTCTCATGTGGTACTAATTCCTCTTTTTCCGAGTAAATTTGAAATAGGCAAATATCCTAAATGTTTGGTTCAGTTATTTATTTCATTGCATAGAATCTTGGAAACAATTTGAGTTATGAGATAATCATCTTGCTACCATAACGGAAGTTTTACCTGTTTGATTTCTCAAGATCACGTCAAAAAGGATATGTATAAACGTATTTCATGATTTCTTCTGTGACTTGAAAAAAGTTGACATTTCATCTCTGTTGACAGGTTATCAGATGTCACTTCTCATAAATTACTTTTTTCTACAAACGTCAAAAAATGACAAGGTTCGCGCATTGATAACAAATTGCGAAGTGAAACTTTTTTAAGTTTCCTACGTTACCATGATACCTTGCACAAAACAATGCGCTAAGTGAAACAGTGCGAAAAGTACCTACTTACCGCATTGTTATGTAAAATATATGAGATATTTATATTTCAACTGCATGGTCCTCAATCGAGCAAACATCCACGAAATCATTTATTTCTGAATGTTCAACATTAACTTTGTTTCATCTCTTGGAGCGCACGAAAGGGAATTCCTAGTATGTTCGTGGAACATAGTGCGTACCTAGAGAGGATAGAAAGAGGCATTTTAAGCCAGTTCAACACTATTTTTTTATATCAAGCTAAGCACATTTTTACTGTAGTTGAGTTGTTTGCAACTCGAGCGCGAAATACTTTGGTCATTTCGACTATTCTTTCAACTCGGCTACGCCTCGTTAAAAAAATCAGATATCGATCACCAAAGTAGCATTTCGCGCTCTAGATACAAAAATAACTATTTTTCCACAAAAAATTGTGAGTACTTCTTTCCCGGGTATATAGGTACACTGTTGATTGCTTTTGTTGTCTAGTTTCGAAAAATAAGCCACTAACACCGTCTCCAAGAAAGAACTGCAAGTCCTTTTATCTTCCATTCCACTTCGCGGTTACATACCTCACTAAACAACTAAGTTCGCAATTTTTCGAAATCAAATCACAGAATTAGATGACAGATAATTGATTACTTCGAAAGTATGATAGAGATGCCTGAAACGCAAGTGTTCTTCTTGTATAGAAAACTTCAAAGTCCACGTCGTAATTTTCTGATTTCAACATGACGTAATATCTACTCGATATTGATTCGTCCTTTTCCTGTCACAGAAAAAAAAATAGTTTACCACAAACGGGAAAAATATTAGGTATTTGCTCACAAACTCGAACTAAAAACTACAACTTTTTTTCTTTCGATAATAAATAACTATTTTTCAAAAACATTATCATGTGTAAAACTGAGAACATAGTACATATTCATTCCACATCGATTACATCACATAATACACTGCACAGTATCTGACAATTCAAAGAATTATATTGTTTATTTATATTTCCTGTATATTTTTTTTGTATCTATAATTATATTCTCCCACAATATATTATATATTATTTTCATCCAAGCACGAATTTATTTTCCATGTCATTGCATGCTTTTTCAAATAAATATATGAAAAACTCCCCCAAACACACCTCTTCGCTTTTTTCCCCACTCAATGCTCAACATTGTTCAATTTTCAGCTGAAGATTTACGCATTAACCGCTCATGGGAAAACTGGCCCTCTCATCTGGTGTTACCGATGATGTTGATGAGAGAAAACATGAAACAATCGATGCTGATGCAGTCCCTGGGCACCCCCTCCACTTTAGACCTTTCCATCAGCCCCAAATCCAGACCCAGGCTGCCCCAAGAGAGCCCCGGGGGTTTCGTTTGCGGGGACTGCGGAAGGACTTACAAGCTGAAAAGCTCCTTGAGGAACCACCAGAAGTGGGAGTGCGGCAAAGAGCCCCAGTTCAAGTGCCCTTATTGCGTGTACAAAGCCAAGCAGAAGATGCACATGGCCAGACACATGGAAAGGATGCACCGGGTGATCGATTATTCTGCGGTCAAAACCGAGATTAAGAGTGAGATTAACGAGGAGAAGGAAGCTCGGGAGGAGACTGTGGATAAACAGATGGATATGCTTAACGACAATTGCAGCAATAGCAGCAATGTTGATAATGTTCCCTCAGCGGTATAACTTAGTGGCGATATACTCACAGGGTGTCTTGAATGTTGATGCAAACCTTTCAGGAGAAGACAGAAGACGTCATTCAGAATCTACACTCAGCGGTCAGGAAATAGAAATCCCAATTGATCGCCTTGTAACTTTTTCAATCTTTGTCCGATATTGGTGAAATTCCGATAAAATCGATGATCAATATTTCGGAATTTTAGTCTGAATTTCAGTTCCCAAGGAAACCTGATGGCTTGATCATTTTACAGGGAAAAACAGAAGTTACTTTTCTATCTTTGATTTCTCAGCGCCCTGTGGCAAAAGTTAGTGAGTAAACTCAGCTTCATGATGTTTTTAATTGAAGTGTGATCTTTTCTTGACACAATGGTGTTTGATTCACATCAATATCTTACACAGATACAGTTTTTCTAAGAAAGAATGGAGGCGCATTAGTCTTCATCTTGTCTTACCAGAGAAGAAGAATTTGAGGTAACTCCTCAAAACTGCGATGAAAAGACGCCGCACGAAAACACGGGAAATTGGCTCTCGGTCGAATTGGCTGAAATTTCACTATGTTGTTGTGGGATGGCTCATTAGAAAAATATGTGAGTTTAAAAAGTTTTGTATGTTTAGTTTCTGAGATATAAGCCGACAAAGTTAGTTAATACCTCGTATCGGGGTAGGATTGACAAAGAAAAAAACAGTTTTTTTAGTATGAATAAAACAAAATATTCTAGAAAATGTATTGATCGGAACTCAAATACATGTCTAGTTGTGATCACATAAATTATAGTAAATCAGGGTGTATACGAGGCACGGTCAAAAAATCGAGCACTATTCCAAAACCAACAAGTTATATTTTGGTGAGACATTATAGTTTTAGTCTATTGTAGGCTTTGAAAACGTATTTTCATTCTTGATAACTATACCTGTTCGAAATATGAATTCTTTTAATTTTGTGTTATACCCCTTTTGGAAATTGGAAATCGATTTACAGCTTGTTTTTGATCACAAAAAAAGGGATTGATTGATACTGTTGATTGAATGAAAGCTGATACTAGCAAATTCAGTTGTTCAGTGTGTTAGATTTTGTTGAAGATTATTTAAAATGTTTCAATTGAATATCTCGAAAATAGTTCCGTTAATTTGGATCTCATTTTACTAACACTATTTTGAATATGTTGACTATCAAATGCAAAAAAAAAATTCAATTTTTTATGTTTCGTTTCTGAGATATGCATTCCTATAACACCTGTAATACTGTAAACTCAAAAATTGATATCTCAGAAACGAAATATAAAAAATTGAAAACTTTGTGCATATGATGGTCAACATATTCAAAAAAGTCTGAGTAAAATGAGATCCAAATTGACGGAACAGTTTTCGAGATATTCAATTGAAACATGTAAAATAATCTTCAGCAAAATCTAACACACCCTGTATCTGAATGAAAGGCAATATTGAACAACTGAATTCGCTAGTGAGTTGCCTCAGCTTTCATTCAATCAACAGTATCAATCAGTCCCTTTCTTTGTGATCAAAAACAAGCTGTCAATTGTTTTCAAAAACAAAATTCTAAAAATTCATAATTCGAACAGAGATAGTTATCAAGAATCAAAATACGTTGTCGAAGCCTACAATAGACTAAAACTATAATGTCCCACCAAAATATAACTTGTTGGTTTTGAAATAGTGCTCGAATTTATTTTCCGAAAAATTAATTTTTTGACCGTGCCTCGTATACACCCTGGTTTACTATAATTTATGTGATTATAACTAGACATGCTTATGAGTTCCGATCAATACATTTTCTAGCTTATTTTGTTTCATTTATACTAAAAAAACAGTTTTTTCTTTTCAATCCTACCCCGATACGACGTTTTTACGAACTTTGTCGGCTTATATTTCAGAAACTTAACATACAAAAGTTTTTAAACTCACATATTTTTGTAATGAGCCATCCCACAATAACATGAAATTTCAGCCAATTCGACCGAGAGCCAATTTCCCGTGTTTTCGTGCGAGGTCCTTTGATTAACTCGATACCACGGTGGTTGAATGATCTAAATGTTATTATCGATGTAATTCAAGCACGAAGAGAGCGTTCTCGTTATTGAATATTTTGTTATTGAAGTCTTGCTGGTGAGTGATGAGAAAATTATACGATGTCTTTTTGAAGTAGTCAATCGACAAATTCAAGTAGGTTCTAAATTACAGTGATTTCTACACTTGTTTCTATCTCGAAATGAAAATACTGACGTTAATCAAAAACCATTGTGCTGAGATGAAATCACAGGGCGTTCAGAAGTTGAGGGTTACTATTATTTTTCCATGTATAATGATCACGACATCACATAATATTCCGAAACATAATTCTATATGATTTGGTCGCAATTTCATCAGAATTGGACAAGAATTGATGAAGATTTATTGCAATCGATTTGCCTAAATTTTCTTATGGCCGATTTTTTTTGCTGGTGAGTGTATTCAGCCTCACATACCTACTAATCCAAAGTCCTCCGGTTTTTTGCAACAAAATCGACAGCACATAATTATTTATTTTCATTTCTTGTCTACAATACTTTGATCATGGAGTATATTATAGACACTAATATCATTTATGTGCCCGAATGTAGTTTTGATCAGACAATACTTTCTAAGAAATAATTTCTTTATAACCACATAGCCAAGTAAAAAAAATGGTAAAAAAGATTCTGTGGAGATTACTGTGAGTTTTTGATGAAATTGTAGTATTCACCTACTTGATTTTACACTAATTGATTTAATTTAACATCAGGTTCATATTTGTTTCAATCAAATATCAGTTATTTGTTTCACTAAGAATATACTCCGTTGAATATATGAATATAATGTTTTTTGAAGAAAGCATCTACTGAATAAAAATTACATTACATTTATAGAGAAAAATATCTTTTGTTCAAAACAATCATCTTTCTGGTTCAAAATTGATATGTTTGCATGTTGACAGTTGATATATTTCAAGTCAGTCATGATTTTCCCATATATTTTTTTACAATCACTTCATAACACAATGTTGAACTTGAGTTTCCATACTTGCTGTTGTTACGATTCCATGACGTGCGTGCTATTTTAAACTATACTATACTATACTATTAGTATAAGAGCATATAACTTATATATTCAGATATTCTCAATTATATTTGAATACTTGAGGTTGCTTTGTTTTTTGATAGCGAAAACTGTAAGACTTTGTATTGAGGATATTGTGGATAAATAGATTGTTTCTCATCGACGTCTCTTGTCAGCTCCTCAAAGGTTTGCATCATCCTGCAGGACGTCCTGTACATACCGATTGGACAATCGAATATTTACACCAGTTTCACAGAAATGATTAAAGCTACCGGTGAAAAAATGCAATATACACCTTGGTGGCTGAAGCTTCAGGACCTGGTTAATAATGATACTCTTTACTACCTTGGTGAATAAATAACTATTAGAATTTCTCGAATTATGTATAATATCTCGTTCTACATGAACACAACGGCTGACAACCTCACCAACCATTTGAAATGTTGCTCGGTTGGTTAGTTCCTGAATATTTTTCATGGTGTTTATATCTCCGATTTGTTCAATGGGTATATGAGCTTTGGTTAATGGTGAATTTGTAACTATAATCTTTAGTGATTGACTGCTATCGTTTGGTGAAAAACGCTGGTGGTTGGCTGTGGGCGAATTCTTGAAGCTAAATGAAACCGTTTTTCATATGCTCCTCAAGTTTTCGTCGAAATAATTGATATTATTAGTTTCAGTCGAACAAAATGCCTTGATTTACTTTTCAGTTGATAAATGATATTTGCCAATTTCCTTTCTTGTCTGTAAATGTACATTCACTCTTTTTTTATATACTCACATGACATCGATCTGAAGCTGAAGGAGTTTGTTTATTGATACATATTGTTAATCCTGTTTTCTAAGTTTTCATTTTTCAATACTTCTTCCATTTTTCTATTTTGAGCCTTCGAAACAACTTTGAGATTGTGTTTGAATCTGAGCAATTTCAGTTTGTTTAAGTTACGTCAATCTCAATTCAATGAAATTCAATTGTTCATTGATTGAATATGAAATATAGATGTTGCGCTTTATTAGATTAGTTTGTATAAAGAGAGTCCGGAAATTTTCAGTGCATGGATCACCATCAGAGAAGAACGGACAAGACTTTGGCAATCCCTTTTTCAACAAAATATACAAAATCTCGTTTGTTTGTATGGTGGTTTTATGAAGATGTTAACTCGTACACTGAGACTTTCCGGATAATTTGTATTAATACCTAGACAACACATTTTTGACATATATGTTTCCTGTAATTTACATTCCTCATTGATATTCTGATCACTGCCAATGGGATTGAATGAAACTGGAATTTATATTGTTTTATGTTACATGTGATATTTCCATTCGGAAGCGGGACACCACCCTGAACCTTTCGTTCTCCGATTCAAAAAAATTGGAATATCAATGAAAATGTTTAGGGGGTGTTCTGCTTTGAAGTGTGAGTCACACTGTAAGTACTCAAACGATATCAGAATGCATCCTCCACTTTTTTGTGATATAATGAAATGTATTCCAGTTTTTCATCACTTACCACTATAATTATTTTTCATACCTCATTTTTGGAACCAGTGAGTTTACAGACGTGATAATTTTTACCTATATAGCGTTTTTAAAAAAGACAGGTGAGTGTAACCATTAGTATTACAGTACATATTTGCTACTTCGAATACTAAACTGCCAGTCGAACTTTTTTCTAGTATGTAGGTACAGGGTGTTTCAACTACAAATATATAGTTACCTGGATGTTGATTATAAAGTTTGTTCATTCATTGGTGGATTGGTAAGTATATAGATTTGTTATTGATTGATTCATAAAAAGCTATATTTCTATAAAACTGTTATCCATCATGAATCCATCCGCTCATGAATAAAAATGTTTACTATACTTTTATATACTACGTTGGTTCTGGTTGGAATACCCTGTATTAATGAACTTCCTCTGTACGCAAAGTGCCTTCGTACGATTATAATAGTAGTATTTTCAGAATAGCATGTCTATCTTATACAATGTTTTTTACCGGTAGTGCTATAGGTTTGTCATTACATTTTTTCGAAGTGATTATTGGTTACATGTTGCATGACACATCCTGTATAAAACGTTTCTGTTGGAATGGTTGCACTTCTATGAAAATAGGTACCTATATCAAT